GCAGCAGCGGCATCCAGAAGCGGATCTTCTCCGACGAGCTCTGCCAGGCCAGGCAGTGCATCAAGCAGTCCAAACATGATCTCCAGACACGCGCCTGCCTCAAGAACGGGCACGCCGGCATCATGCGGCAGGGAGTCTACGGATCGGGGCGTGGTCCTGACTCCCTCCAGGGTCCAGCATACAGGGGACTGTGCTGCCACCCTCTTGGCCGCCTTGGTCGAGGAGCCACCTGACATGGACTTGCTGTCGCCGACGGCGCGGCTGGCGTTTCTCATGGCGCCGCAGCGCCCATTGGAGCCAAATGAACAGTGGAGCATTTTCACCGACGGGTCCTTCCATGCCTCCTCGCCCGACGATTCTGGCTGGGCGCTGACTGTCGTCTCGGAAGTGGGAAACGACAGGTTCGCTTTCAGGGGCTATCACGCCTCCAAAGTCAGGACGCCGACGACACAGACGCTCTTCAGCTCAGTTGGATCGTCCACCTCGTGCGAGCTGGCAGCTATCTTGTGGGCTGTGGTTTTGGCGCATGAGCTCACTGACCAGCCCGTGACCATCCATACAGACAGCACTGCTGCGATTGCTTCCATACAAAGAGCCGTAGCCGTCGAAGGAGACGTGGACAATTACATCGCGGCCACCATAAACTACCTGAATCAGGTCGGCCACCAGCAGTGCACTTTCGTGCACGTCAAGGGCCATGATAAGCAGCCTTGGAACGAACTTGCCGACTCGCTAGCACGAGCCGCATCATGCAATAAAGTTGACACCATGCCGACTCTCAGCACGGATTGTCTGCAGCACACCACCACGATGGACTGGGAATGGCTGTGGCATGCGCCGCAGCAGGTTCAGGAAGCTTACCCCCCGCACTACTGCGTGGAGGCCGACCGTAGCACGATGCACTACTTCAAGGTGGCATACAACACACCACAGGTGGAGGTCCACACCATGAGCGAGCAGCCAGAAGCAGCGCGACAAAGCGGTCAAGCTAAGTTGGTATCGCTGGCAACTGCCACATACAATGTCCAGACGCTCCGGGACCAGCAGGACACCGCTCCGGGCGATTTGGCCAACCTTTATGCGTTGCAGTTCTCCCAAGACCATATACACCTGGTTGGGCTGCAGGAGACGCGGAGGCCAGCAGGTAGAGGCGCAGGACATGGTTACGTACAGCTATGCGGGGGGGCACAGCAAGGGCATGGAGGATGCGAGCTCTGGATTAACACCCGGATCCCCATTGCCACACACAACGACCGGCAGATATTCCTGCAAGAGCGAGACGCGCACATTCTGGAGCGGGATCCGCGGCGCTTGCTTGCCAGGATCAAGAACCACATCATTGACATTACTGTCTTTGTTTTCCACGCGTTGGACATGTCCTACGACTTATCTGATCGACGGGCGTGGTGGGATACGACAGGAGACTTGGTTGCCCGCTGGAGGCCAAAGATACTGCTGGCCGACACGAATGCGCAGCTGGGAGATACCACTTCCTGGGCGGTCGGCGACCGAGGGTGGGCACAGGCCCAAAACTCCAATGGAGATTGCCTGCATGCGCTTCTTCTTGAACACGGATTGCAGGCGCCAGGCACTTTTCGAGACGATCGTTGTGGATACACGTGGCAAGACACCAAGTCCAGAAACAGGATCGACTACATCATGTGCCCTGCCGACATGGCTCAGTGCATCAAGGAATACCGCGTCGACCACGCCTTCGACGCCAGCAGGGAGCACCTGGACCACACGCCTGTGATATGCAGGTTTCAGTGGTACGACGTGGAACATCCCAAGAGAGGACCGCCGTCTTACAACCGCGCCCGGTTGGAGGACCCTGAGGCGGTAGCCCATTTTGGTCAGCTCCTTGAGGGGCACCGTCCCGCAGCGTGGCACGAGGACATTAATCCCCAGATCCAAAACGACACCAGCTTCATCCTGACATGCGCCCAGAAGGCTTTCCCCTTCAGCGCGAAGACGCCCATACAGCCATACATCACCTGCGGCACCATGGAGCTGATAGCTGTTCGGCGCCGTGTCCGACGCACGCTGCGGCAGATGCATGATATACGTGATCCGAGCTTGCTGCAGGACTGGCACCGTGATGCGCTCGACTATCTAGCCCTGGACCTGCTCTCCGAAGCGGATGGCGACTCCAATGTACACGCTCACTACATCGTTCAACAAGCGAGGGAACACATGTGGCAGGTCTGCTACGAGAAGTGGTTCATGGACGTACTGGATTTCATGCGCGCCACGGCCAGGATACAGAAGCGACTGATTAGAGCTGACAGGGAGAACTTCCTTGCGCAAACTGCAGATGGGGCTAGGGCCGCGGCCGACAGAGGGGCACACCGTGAGCACTGGCAGCCAACCAAAAAATCCTACGCTATGGGGGGCGGCCACCCAGATACGCGCACTTCTACCAGCATCGCTTGGACGTGCACGGCAACCCGATGAGTTCATCAGAGGAGGTTGCGGAGGATTTCTTCGACGCTTGCCTGAAGACTGAGCTTGCGGTTAGGAAGACGGATACCCAGGCAAGGGAGCAGTACAATTCAAGGAGCCTGCCACCACCGACGGCCAGTGGCAGGAGCCTCGACAACGTGATGTCTGTGAAGCAGCTGGAGCACTCCTTCCGCCGTGCGAAAAAGTTCACGGCCCCAAGTACCGACGGGCTTCCTGATGACCTGCTACGCGTTCAACCCGAGCGACGCGCGAAGATATTACACCCTGCCTTTGCCAAGGTCCAGCTGCAGTGCCGTGAGCCCCATCAACGGAAGGGATCCTTATCGGTACCGATACCCAAAAAAGCAAGTCCTAGGAAAGCTGGGCAGAGATCGCAGAATCGAGCGATTGCCTTGTGTCCGGTCTTGGCCAAACATCACAACGCCTATCTCCGATCACGCCTCCTGAGGATCATGGGAGTGGCTACGATGGCAAGCCAGTGCGGCGGCATTCACCGCAGAGGTACAGATACCGCGGCGCACCAGATCCGGAGCATGGTGGCCATGGCGAAGGCGATGCGACGTACAGCCATCACTGTATACGTTGATTTGGTAGCCGCTTTCTACCGCGTGGTTCGGCATTTAGCACTACCCATACAGACCGACGTGGAGGAGGCCAGAGCCATCGTTGACTCCATGGAGGTACCAATTCTCTTTGAGGACGCGCTGATTCAGGCCATGGCCGGGAGGCCTATCATTGCAGACATTTTGCAAAACAGCCATGCCCTGGAACAGCTCACGGATGTGTACCACGACACTTGGTTTGAAGTGCTGCAAGTAACTGACAAGGCACAAACCTACGTTGGCTCCCGTCCAGGAGATACCATAGCGAATGATACGTTCAGCGTGGTCTTTGCCAAGCCGATCAAAGAAATTGAGTTGCAGCTGCAGGCGGCAGGCCTTGCATGGGAGGCCACGGCCGATCGACGAGCATTTCGCCGTGAAGATGAGACCCTACCAGACTCCACGGCCAGCTACGTGGACGACTTGGCTGCCCAAGCTTTCGTCGACCCTCCGGAGGCGATCGCCAAAACCAAGATCATGATCGACATTGTCATCGTATCGTCGATGAGGCACGGCATGCTGCTCAATTTTGGGCCACAGAAGACGGCCGTGCAGTTTGCCATTTTCGGGGAAGGGGACGCCGCCCTCAAGACCGAGCTCGCCGGAATGGACTTCAAGATCCACCCTCTCCGGCATGCAGGAGACGTCCCCGTGGTGCTGCATTACTGCCACCTGGGCGGCCAAGTCACTGGCACAGGCGCAATGCTCCCAGAGGTGAAGGCGAGGGCTGCCATGGCTAGGGCGGCGGACAGACCGATCAACAAAACAATATGCAAGATACGCGGCTACACAATCAAGCAAAAGGTCCAGTACAAGGACTCCCTGTCCCTGAGCAGGCTCAAGTACAACGCGCAAGTGTGGAATCCCTTGGAGCCTGCTGCCATGGACGCCTTCAGGAAAGTATATTCTGAAATATACCGCGGCGCCGTTGGCAGGCCCAGGCGGCATGGCAACACCACCTCGAATTCCGAGGTGCTGGCCATGGCCGCTCGACCCGCACCTGAAGATTTTCTCCGGCACGCTCGGCTAGTCCACTTGGCGCGGCTCATGGACACTGCTACTCCTGCCCTGCGGGCCATGCTGGATGAGCTCAGCAGCACCCCTGGTAGCTGGTCGCACGAACTCAGGCTGGATCTTCAATGGATGCTGCCGTTTCTTGACATTGACGCAGACCCCCGGTTTGAGCAGCGGGTGGACATGGTGCAGATGGCAACCCAACTACCTAAAAAAATGAAAGTGCTTGCTCAACCGCGTGCGGCAAGGAGCGATTTTCGCCAACTCCCAAGTTGCCATGAACCGTAGGCTCAGGCGAGATTTGGCCAGACTTTGCGACGAATGGCACGTTGAAATTGAGCCTGACGAAGAAGACCCGTGGATCTGCTACATGTGCGGATGGACTGGCGACACCGAGCACGGGCTCAAGACGCACATCGGAAAAATGCACAAGCAGCAATTATCCCCGGCCACTGCTGCTGATGGGACCCGTTGTGAAATATGTATGACACAATTTTGGACTCAAGGGAGGCTCTTCCATCACTTGTCGCAGCGTTCGCCCTCGTGCTGGCGCAGCTGGTCGCAGACACTGGCGCCCTTGAGCGACGAGCAGCAGAAGGAGGTGGCGTTTGCGATCTCTTCCGAGGCCAAGAGGAACATGTCCTTTGGACTCCCGCGCTTCCATGCGAAGAGACCTGCGTGTTGTATCGAGGGGCCTGCGTGGCCACATGTGCCGATCGACCCTCTCCCCGATGCTGCGCTACCACGGGGCCTCGTGTTGAAGACAACGCCCCGCCAGAAGAAGACCTCCAGCCACCCGACAGCGTCAACCACTTTCGCTGGCCCACCCGCTATTTTGCGGTACTGTGCGGAGGCCACAGGCACTTACGTGACATACAACACGCCCTAGAGCTACGCTTGCAACGTTCGCCTTTCTGCGTGGTGCCCCTGTCCATTGATGCGGTGTTCGGCGAGCATTGTGACCTTGCGGTTGAACGATTTGGGGATCATTCCTCCACCAGTTCTGCGACTTCCCTTCTTCTTGATGCGGCCGTTTCGGGGCAGCTTGCTGGAGTGCTGGTGCTGCCCCCAAGAGCTACGATGTCTCAACGACGAGCCGCACCTGACTGCGATCACCCGCGCCGGCGCCCAGGCCAGAGATGCATGCAGTGTCTGAGGAAAGGAGACGCCGCCCTAAGAAGCCAACTGTGCCCGTGGGGCGTACCACACCTCGCAGTGCAGCACCATGCGAGGGTGCAGGCGGCCAATGCTGTAGGGCGGAATGGATTACGAATCATGGCTGCCTGCCACAAGGCGCGGGTGCCATACGCTTGCAATTTGCAGGCCAGCGATTTCCTCGTCAACGACGCGACCATCAAGCAGCTGCTCGAGACCGGCGGCATCCAGAAGCTGGACTACGCCACGTGCGCCTTCGAGCAGGTGCGCGATAGCCAGACGCACTCCATCCTTTTTGGTGGTCTGCCAAGCCTCGTGGCCAAAGTTCAGCGCTACGGTCAGGCTGGGCGCTGTGCGTGCACGCGCACATGCACTCCGACGGCATGCAGCGGCATGGCTCTTCAACTACCCAGCCTGCTTCAAGGCGCGCTGATCGACTCATTCATGGACCACTGGTTGCAAGAATGGGAGGGGTGGCCACAAGCAGCCACCCTGGAGGCAGACGACCTCACGCTGCTCCAGAAGCACTACGTGCCCCTTCTGGACCACCACGGCGGCTGGCACACGAGGACCATCTCCCTCGAGAATGGGGTCTTCCCCTGATGGCGGGATCCGCCGTCACCACCGCCGGCGGCGTCATCAGCGGTCCGCTGTGACGCCCGCGCGAGCCTGCTGAGCTCGCCTCTCCTCCTCCTCCTCCTCCTCCTCCTCCTCCTCCTCCTCCTCCTCCTCCTCCTCCTCCTCCTCCTCCTCCTCCTCCTTTCCTACTCTGTGCAAATCCGGCTGCGCCCTCTTCTGACTGGGCTCGAAGATGCCACAAGAAAAGAGATCGTGGCCTGGCGTTCCCGCCCGGCTTCGGGCCCCAGGACCTTCACGGATCGCTCCAGCTCGACCAGTGGCGCAGGGAGATGGGGCCCGGGGCTCCGGTGGTGATGCCTGCGATGCTGCAAAAGTCTCTGCGGCGCGAAGTCTGCGGGCTGCTGCATTTTCGGCCTCATGGGGGCCCTTGCCAGGCCCGCCGGGGACCAGCAGAGAACGCCTCGGGACAGAAGAAGCTGGTCTTATGGGAACGGGGCCGAGACCTCCGGGGACCCGCAAAGCACGACGGAGGACAGAAAGCCAGTCTCGATGAAGGGGTCGAGACCTCTGGGGGTCGACACTGCGAACAGAAACATGACGCGGGGTGTCTGGGGACCCAGACATCCGGCGCTCCAACTGTTTCGATGCGGGGGACCTCCGAAGTCTGGACCACTTCCCGATGGGTCGTCTTTTCCTCCTGACTCGTTTTCGTTGGCAGTCCTGGGGATAGGCGAGGGCCCCCAAGGGCCGAAAGCGATGAAAGCCTCCCGTCGGGATTGTTTCACGACCTGAGAGGGTGTGGGGCCCTGACCTTCTTCGCCAGGGCTAAAACATTAGCGTTATGTCGGGCCTGTCCCCCTACAGGGGGATTTTCGACGATTTGTTTAAGAACAAAAAATAATAATAATAATAATAATAATAATAATACTACTACTACTACTACTACTACTACTACTACTACTACTACTACTACTACTACTACTACTACTACTACTACTACTACTACTACTACTACTACTACTACTACTACTACTACTACTACTACTACTACTACTACTACTACTACTACTACTACTACTACTACTACTACTACTAATAATAATAATAATAATAATAATAATAATAATACTAATAATGATAATAATAATAATTCTAATAATAATAATAACAATAATAACAATAATAATAATAAAAATAATAAATCAAAAAATAGTCCCCAGACTATTGTTGGACTGTTTTTGGGCTATGTTTGGGGGTACTTTCCCCTGCAGGGGGACAGGCCCGACCTAACCTCAGCGCCAGGACCTCGACCTCAAACTATCCGGGTCGAGCTGCGAAGCGGCCCGGAGAGAAGCCCAGCAGAGGTCCTGGAGGGCTATGCTCTGCAGCCCTCGGGAAGGTCAAGGTGCCAGGGGGCGGCGAGGGGCGCCCCGCTCGCCCCGGGAGGGAGGAGGAGGGGGAGGAGGAGGAGGAGGAGGAGGAGGAGGAGGAGCAGTGAGGAGGGGGGAGTGAGGGAGGAGAGGAGAGTGAGGAGAGGAGGAGGAGGCGAAGGAAGGGAGGAGGGGATGAGGAAGGGAGGAGGCGAGAGGACGAGGAGGAGAGGACGGAAAGAGGAGGAGGAGGAGGGGAGGAGGAGGAGGAGGCGGCCCCGCCGCCGCTCCAGCCAAGACGACGCCTGCGGAGCGGCAGTGGTCCGCAGGGGCGCCTCGGGGCGCCCGCCCCTGGCGCAGCCCTGCGCGGGCTGCGCCAGGAGGCGCCCGCCCCCGCCGCCCCCCGCCCGCCCGCCTCCCCTCCCCCGCGCTCCTGCTCCTCGCCCCTCCAGCCCCGAGTTTCCCCTCCCCGTCCCCTCGGCCCCCTCCCCTCCTTCCACCCCGTGCCTCTCCCTCCTCGCTCCCCCTCGCCCCCTGCCCCTCGCCTCTCCCGTCCGCATCCCCACCCGCAGCACACCGCGTCCGTTGCTTCCGTCCTCTCCGCACCCAAGCCTCCCCCACCTTCCTCTCCCCCCCACCGCCCTCCACCCCTCCTTCCCCGATGATTCACCCCTTCTTCCCGTCATTCCCTCCCCATCCCTCATCCCATCCCAATCGCCATCCAAACCCTCTGTCCCCGAATCCGTCCTTGCCCTCCTCCTCCTCCTCCTCCTTCTCCTCCTCCCTCCTCCTTCTCCTCCTCCTCCCCTCCTTTCCTCCTCCTACTCTCCTTCCTCCTCCTTTTCCTCCCTCTTTCCACTGTTCCTCCCTGGAGGCGGCCCCCCGAGGGAACCACATCAGACCTCCTCCTCATCCTCCTCTCCTCCTCCTCCTCCTCCTCCTCCTCCTCCTCCTCCTCCTCCTCCGCTCCTCCTCCTCCTCCTCCTCCTCCTCCTCCTCCTCGTCGTCGTCGTCGTCGTCGTCATCCTCGCCTCCAACCTCGGAAAGGAGATGGAGCCCGAGAGTCTCCAGGCGGGGAACCCTCCTGACCACACGGAGCGAAGAAGGCCGTGCCCAAGCCCAGACCTTGGCTCGGGAGGCCGTGTGTTAGAAATCCCAGCGCGGCCGCCGCTGAACCCGAAGCCTTCCGACGTGCCACTTGGCCGGCGAGTGCTTCTTCGATCAACTCAACTGGCCAGACACTGGTCGCAAGTTGGAGGGGGCCCAACCAAGCAGACCACTGGAGAGTATCCGTCGCATGACGGGCACGGACTTCCGCTGGCCAGGCGGGACTCCTGCAGGTGGGGGGACAGGGTCCTCGGAGAGCAGAGGACGCTGGAGCAAAGCATGGGAGGAGGAGGAGGAGGAGGAGGAGGAGGAGGAGGAGGAGGAGGAGAGAGGAGGAGGAGGAGGAGGAGGAGGAGGAGGAGGAGAGGAGGAGAGGGAGAGGAGGAGGAGGAAGGAGAGGAGGAGGAGGAGAGGAGGTGGAGGAGAGGGAGGAGGAGGAGAGGAGAGGAGAAGGAGGAGGAGGAGGAGGAGGAGGAGGAGAGGATGGAGGAGAGGAGGGAGGAGGAGGAGGAGGAGGGAGAGGGAGGAGGAGGGAGGAGGAGGAGGAGGAGGAGGAGGCACGAGGGGCCAGCACGGACGAACGGCCCTGCGAAGAATCCGACCACTGAGCGCCTGCCAGCGCCTGGCGCGGCCCACGGGTGGCAGCCATGCTGCTTGCACTCGTGCTGTGGCTGCGCCCACTGCGGTACACAGCAGGACGATGCTCAACACGTGCGAAGACCTTGATGCACGCACTGCCGCTATGGCGATGCCCGAAAACGCTCGGAGGAAACGATTCGTGATACAGTGAACTGTCGTCCTTGCCGCCGCTCAGCCCCACCAAGATGCGGTCTCCCTCCATGATCATGTCGAAGTCGGCCAACGCCTGCGGAGCGTGCGCACAGCCAGCACCCTGTTGAGACACATCCGACGAGAGTGGTGCAATTGCTCTGCGCCTCCCCATGCTGCCGTGAATCCTGCGCTCAGTGGCTGCCGTCCAG